TCYCYYCCAGTYYCCAGCCCAGASTCCCAAGAAAGGCAACCAATACAAYAAGGGCAGGACAGGGAAAGGAAAGAACAAGTCCTCCCAGCAGAATTACACCTCTCTGTGCACAGGAGAAACTTCAGCCTGTGCTTGGGAATTATAGTGCCATTTACTGTTCCCAACTCTGTAAAGACCAGGTTGAGACTTCTGAGAGAGGAGAGGGAACAGCACAACACACCAGAAGAGCAGCATCTCAAGGGCTGCCCAAAGCAGGGGCTCTACAAGGCATCCCATCCCTCAGTCTGGGCAACACCAGCACCAGACAAGYCTAGGCTGAGAGCCAGGAAACCCCTTCCCAGCCCCAAGAGTTTCTGCTGTACAAACCATCCACAGAGCCAAACTCCTTCACGTGAGCACGGGTAAGGATCTCCTTATACAGCACCTCTGCATCTTTGTATTTGCCTTGCTTCAGGTAACAGGAAGCCTGCAACCAGAATAAAACAACTCCAGCCCCACTGGGAAACAGATTAACTCTGCCTACCTCTTGCAGCTATTGCTCTGTGTCTCACCTCTCACCCAGCACCCCTCCCCATGACCACACAGCCTCTCACCAGGTTGTTCTTGGTCTTGGCCACATTGGGGTCATCAGGGCCCAGGCAGCTYTCGTAGATCTCCAGGGCCCGGCAGTAATAGTACTCCACCTCGTCATACTTGCCCTGGTTCTGGCACAACAGGGCTAGGTTGTTCAGCTGCTTGGCCACATCAGGATGGTCTTTGCCTAGAACCTGAGTGAACAAAAGAGAGAAGCCACTAAAGCTCCAGCGGACTCCTGGAGTTAGTAGACACTGTAGTCCCCACAGCACATGGCCATGTCAGACAAAAGCCAAGGATTGGAGAAGCAAAGAGGAGAAATTCCAGYTTCCTCCTCCTGGCAGGCCTCTCCAGGGCTACAAACACCAGAGAGACAGGAAAGGTAGTGGCAGAAGCAGCAGCTGAAGAGACTAGACAGGCCCCGGATCTCCCATGGGCACTGAGGTAATGGGAAAAAGCCCACAGGGAGGGCTGAAAGGAGAAAGAGCATTGCAGTTTCATACCTTCTCACGGATCTCCAGGGCTCGTTTGCACAATGGCTCTGCTTCTTTGTACTTCCCTCTCTTGCCATACAGAACAGCCAAATTGTTCAAGGTCGCTGCCACCTACAGGGACAGAAGCATCTCATGAAACAAAGCAAATTCCAGTGGGGTCAAACAATGGGTGCAAGCAGCAGTGACAGTGACTGCCCCATTTCTTCCATGTCTGCAGTACTGCTGCTTCTCAAGAGATACAGAGAGAGAAGACTGCTCTGCCCCATATCACAAGATCCAGGCAAAGCCATACTGAACCAGGCAGCAGGAAATACTGAAGCAGTAAAACACTGCTGGAACAGTGCCCCAAGCACCCAAAAGGGAAGAAGTGACTGAAAGAGGAGGGAGACACTCACCGCTGGGTGGTCTTTGCCTAGAGTCTTCTCACGGATGGAAAGRGCATCATTCAAGAGGTGTGCTGCTTCTTTGTATTTATTCTGATCCCTGCAGTGCAAAGKCAACCAGTGATTTGGGATTTGGATACTAYARCCCACAGAAAGCAGAACTGTGAACMGCCCTCCTTCCACACAGACMMAGCCCTCRCAGTCCTTTCATTTCTCCATTCCTCCCTGCTTTAGTCAGTCCTTAGTTATATCTGGGAGTTTGGCAAACCAAATACCCCATCAAACAAAACATTTCTGAAAGGCAAGAAGCTGGGAGAGCCCCAGGATGGCTGTAAAGGCAAACAGGAAATGCAGAAAGCTGTGCTGGGCCAGTCCTGCCCTTCCCACCRTGCTCACCTGTACACTAGTGCTAGAATGTTGAGCATGGTAGCCACATCAGGGTGATCATGGCCTGATGTCTTCTCCAGGTCCTCCAGTGCCTGTTTGCAGAGTGGCACGGCCACCTCATAGCGTCCCTGGGAAGCGTACTGGATGACAAGGTTGTGGAGGGTGCGCAAGCGTGCGGGAATCTCATAACCTCCCTGCTGGGCAGCTGCCACGGCACTGCTGTGCTGGTGGGGCACTGTGGGCACAGAAATAAAAATGGCACAATTGGCCCAGCAGGCGTGAACAGAAACASACAGCAACCGTGCAAGGGCAAACACTTACATCCAGGACCATGCTCCTCCTCCTCATTCGGGAATAGGTCATCCAGAGAGTCCTTGGTGGAGTCACCCTCCTTCTCCTCCTGAGAGGATGAGAATCGCAATACTGTTGGTTCTCAGCAGAGACAGCAGCAGCCTGGGCTGAGTCAGCAGCCAAACTCTCAGCCCTTCTGCAGCCCACCAACACACTCAATTTCTCCTGATGCTTCTGCCACCATCTACCCCCACAAAACAAAATGCAGAGGCTCTGCCCCCTGCAGGTCCCCTTTAGCTACAGGCATTGCTGTGCCTGGTAGCTGGGAATCCAGGGCAATGATATCACACCTCGGCAGTTCTGGTCCAACCTGCCGGACCCATAAAAACAGCAGCTCAAAAGGAGTGGGGCATACCGAAGGTGAGACATCCTCGTCATACTTCTTCAGCTGGTTCATGAACTCAAGGTGTTTCTTCTCCTCCTCCAGCTGAGCCACGGTCTGTTCACTACGCTGCAGCTTCTGCTGGGTGTTGGCAAGCTCATCACGCAGCCACTGGTTCTCCTGGCACAGTCTCCGCACCTGAGCACGCAGCTTCTGCTTCTCTGACTCCACGGCGTTCAGATGGTTGGACAATGCCATCATCACCTTGTTAAGAGTCTCAGTCAGTAACAACCACAGTCTTGTCTCTCCCTCACATGCATGTTTAGGGTCCACCCATGCCAGCCTTCTACACCTAGCCCCTTTCCATCCCTGCAGCTTATAGGAAATGGCCACATGCCCCACCTTCCTCTGTCAATCACAGGTAACAGGTAGGGGATCACCCACCACTCTCACCTGAGCTTCTCCAAGCCCCAGCTCTATCATCTCCACTGACTTGCGGAGCAGGTTGGATTTCTCATGCACAAGATTGGCTTCTTCATCTTTCTTCAGGCACTTGATGGTCTCCAGCAAGCTGTGCAGGATGGAGTTGTGTTCATTCTTGAGTGCTTCCAGCCCTTGCATTACCAACTTGGTGTTGGAAATTATCTCCTCTTGGCTCAGCTTGTCCAGTTTCTCCTCCCTTGGGTACACCATGGTGGACATAGTCCTATTCCTGCAGCCCTGCACAGAGACCAAGACAAACTGTGAGTGCCACAGGGCTGTTTCAGAGACCCACAATCTGACACAAGCATCACAACCTCCTTCAAGCGATCACGAGACAGAATTTAACTGATTGCCTACTTTAAGCTCTTCTCCTTCATCTTCCCCTCTCCCTTTGGCAGCAGGCAGCTGTCAGGGCACGTGCCTCTGCTTTGGTGGCTGGCAGTGCTGGCAACCAGTGCAGGTGGCCCACGTGGACAGGAGACAAAAAGGCTACAACCAGTGCTGACCTCCAACACCCCCACACTCCCAGCAGGGGGAAGACTGATTTAGCTTCCTTTTAAGAGCAGAGATTTGTGGTTGGCAGCTGGGGTTGCAATCCATACACCTTCTGCCCACAGACCACTGATGCAGAGAGGCTGTCAGAGCTCAGCACCTCTTCTGAGAAGGGAGAGAAGAAAGGGAACACAAAGTGKAGGGACGCCACCTCAAAGCTTTCTGCTTCCTCAAAGGAAAATCTCCTGGAAGAGCATCTCAGACAGGGAAGCATCAATGGCATTACTGTGCCAAAAWACAGCCTGAGCAGAAGAGTACATCCTGAGGATCACAGCCTCAGCAGAGAACTGCCATGGTGGCACTAAGGGACATGCCACCAGCAGGACACAACACCTCTGCCTGCCTGGAGAAGTTCACATACACCAACTGCTACAGTCACACTAACAGAATCTGTGCAGAGGTCAGCTTGAAACACCAACAGCTTTTCCATCTTCATTCACCCTCAGGATGGCCTAAGGACTCTATTCTCCTTCCCTGTCCTGTTCCCCCTAGATGTGCAACGGGAGAGCACCAAACTACTGCCTTTTCACAGGGACACCAAGTGCTACAGCAAAAAATGTGAGTGTGGCTGCAAGATCCCTGCACACCAAGTCCAGGAACTAGGGAAACACAATAGGCCAGAGGATGAGAGACACAAGAGGCAGGCAAGACCCCTTACAGCAAGAGCCTGGGTCTGCTCCATCACTCACTGACCTATCCCAGTCCCAGCTGGGCCACCCCAGCAGCCTCCTCACATTACTCAACAGTAAAGCCACCTCCCACCTTGCTATCAGGTCACTCCAAAGCCTCCTGCAATGCCCTGTGCAGGCAGCACTGTCCAGCAGCACCTCCTTGCTACCCAGAGCTGGCAGAGACCTCTGCAACCTGAGTGCCCAGGGCCCTGCTGCAAGGAAGCTGGCAGATTGCCCAGAAGCTACACAGGAGGAGGTGARGGAATTGCTGCCAACAGATCTGCCTCTGACCTCCTGCAGAACCCACCTCTGCATGGTTTGAGCTCTCACTTCAGCAGCTGCCTCTGCCTGGTTTATGGAGAGAACAGAAATACTGCCCTGAGTACAGGAGAGAGAGCAGCAGGGCTCTTCTCCTCACCTGKGCACTCTGCCCAGGGGGATCCAGCAGTCCAGGGAGCTACTGGGGAATGGGCCCTGAGAAATTGAGAGGCACAGCTTCCTCCTCACTGCAGCACTTCACGTGAAGATGACAAACAGCACTRGGACAGTTGTTTTAAGTACACACATCTCATTATTAAACCCACTCATTTCCTCTTCTTTAGCCTCACTCTTCCTCCAGTTGTTTTATAGGCCTTAATTCTCAACTCTTCTTTGGTTTCTGTTGCAATGATGTGCATCCATCCCTCAGGAAGGGGAGCTAATCCTCGACACAGTGGAGACCTCACTGAACCTCAGCAGGGCAGAAATACCTCATGTCTCTTGAAGACTGAATTTCTATTCACACCTCTGAACAAGAACTGAGTCATCCTCCCCCAAAGTCACAATGCTGACTTCACATTCACTTCATGATCTAGCATCAGCACCAATTCTGAATCATACTTCACTGTATCCTTCACTTTTGACTATGTGTCATACTCCATATGCAGCTAACCCTGCACACTGGGCATTTTACACCAAAACAGTCTCATCTGGACCATGACATATGCCAGTTTGCTTTGGAAAAGACCATGTGATAAGAATAACATGAAAAACTTCATTAAGGTCAAGACAGAGGACATAGACTATTGAGAGTTGGTTGCCACTCATATCTTGTCTTCCAAACTCATTCTCCAGAAACTATCAGCTAAGTATTCTGGTCAACAGTTCCCCTGGTTATTCTTTTTCCCACCTTTCTAACACCTCTGGAGTGTGATCAAGTGCTAAAGCAATAAGAGAAGCCTTACTTAAGGCAGACTTCTGGAGGAGAGCACAACTCAGGAAGAAATGTGCAACAATTCCCAGCCCCAGAGAAAAGAGGTTGGCAGCCCAAAGGATGTTAGTGCTGCCTCATCTGGCCAAGCACTCTTGTGCTCTGAAATAGGTCCTGACAGATTCCCAGGAAGGCTCAGCAGGCACTTCTCTCTTCCACAGAACCCAAGGTTCTGTGTAACTTCTTAAGGGTTAAATGGCCCCATCACTGGTTTTCACTTGTAAGGAAACACAGCCCCAGACTCGCTTGCAAACAGAAAAATATGCAAGTGGGAGTTCTCTGGACCACAGACAATGCTTGGGACACAAGAACAAACCATGAATGGCCTCACACCCAACACACTGAAAAACCCTAGAACTCTAAAACTCACACAGCTGAGGAGTATAAGTCCCTCAGGTACTGGGCCAGCTGTGAAATGCTGACAGTTTTCATGGCAGCATCACTTATGTCCATACAGAAATCTTGCTGCCAACTTTAAGAAGTACAACACAAACACATTGAGAAGAGGAACAGGTTACAGGATAAAAAGCCACCAGAGCTCAYACCTTCCTAGGTAACAGAGTCAGACAAGACCCAGATCCATAGAAAATCAGCCTCATTAATTCYACTGTACACAGAACTACTTCTCAACTGTGAAACAGCTGTGTGTTAAACCACCRGTGCCTCTACTACAGTAACATTCTTTCTTCAACCCTTCCAGCAGAAAACATTCAAGTGTTTCACAATCAACAATTAACTTGGGTTTGAAACTGTAAAGATTTCAGAATGAGAAGGAAAAAGAAATCAAAACATTCTGACCCACAGCATATAAGACTTATCCTACCCTGCAACCACATCCTCAGATCCTTCAAAGGCATATCAATAGAGGCTTTTCTTCTCTGCCTGGCTGCGCCAACACCCGTAACAAYCTTGGCCTTTCTTCACTAGGGTGACATTCTAAAAACATAGCTCTGCTACATCCCAACACATCCAATGTTCAATGATGGACAGAGGATTGTTCAGGCTGGACAGGGTGCAAAACTTAAGAAAACACACAGCTGCTCAACAAGAAAAGAAACAGGAGACTGAAGAGAATGTGAATGCTGCTACCTCTTGTACAGCAAAAAAAAAAAAAAAAAAAGCAACAAATACTGGTGGGAGCTGACTTATCCTTCCAAAGAAAGGATTTTCCCCCAAAGAGCCTTATTTCTAGCTCTCCCCAGTGCTGGCAGGTCTACATTCAGTGCTTAGCCCTCCAAAGAGGAAACGCTCGCTATGGCAGCCAACACCAAGGTCAGGCAGGCAGAGGCTGCTGTAAATGCACCTTCTTAGTCCTTTACAATCAGTAAAGGGCACTCAGTGTCCTTTMTCCAGGCAAACACTCAAAGATTCCTGCAGAGAGGAGGGGACACATCACCGTTTGCCTTTTGCAGGGTGGGGATCAAACTGGAACAGGAAGAAAGAATGCTTTTCCACTGAGCTCCTTGAGATGGAGAGCCCTGTTCCCAGCTCACCCTGCTGCAGTCCTGATGGACCTGCAGGTGTCCCAGCCCAGGTCTCCACCCGCACGTTTCCGCTCTAGTTGGCACGTCTTCCCTATTTACAGCGAGCTGCTCTGCTCCAATAGCCTGRCTTTCCGACAACACCCATCTCATCTCCCCTCTTCTGCTCCCATTTGGAAGACAGGGAAGGAACATGCGTGCACTGAGCTTTGTGGCAGCTGCAGCAATCAGCTGGGAATCCATCAGTGAGTACATCCTGCCCGGCAAAAGCCTTCCTCCTGTATTCAAGTGCATAACCGCGAAATCACTAAGCATCAGCAATTTCAGCAGCTCATTTTTCTGCCTCTCAAAACTGCTCCCACATGCGAGACCTTTAAGAGGAAAGAGCTGGGAAGCTTCACTGCCTCTATCTTCAACCCACAACAGCTACAAGGATGCCAGATTAAATGGGTGCAAGTGAATCTTAAAGCTTAGCTAGAAGACTATGGGAGCAGGGGCAGAGAAGCACCGGGGAAATCAGGAATCAGCTACAACAGGACAGAGATTTCAGGTCTACAAACAACGCAACAAATTTAGTCCACTGCCTTCCTACATGTCCCTGGACCCACGTGAGACACAAGGTACCACTCCAGCTTGCACAAGACAATAACTGCAGCTTCCTTCAAACTGCAGATGGTCTGCCAGCACTTTCTGTAAAGACGTGAAACAGATTTTCAGCAGCAAATTCTTCCATAAGAGAAGGTGATCTAAGGATATAAAATGATGTAAGGTAATTGCAGACAGACAGCTGGGCTCTGGAAAAAAGCAAGTTTGACCCACAGCAAGAACAAGCAACCACATTTGGGAGATAGATAGCAAAGGCAGCACTTAGAAATGGAAACACAGGGTTTTGTCTGGCTTCACCATAATTATCCCATCTCCTGCTGTGAGAYATGCTTTTGCTACCTGGAGAAACAGCAAGGTTATATATTTGGGAAGCAAAACGACTTGATAAAAGCAGGGAAGATTTTCTGGTTTGTTTGTTTGGTTTTTTTTTTTCTTTGTACCTCTGCCAGCTCATTACTGTTGAAYAACAAAGGGTCTCTGGAATGACTGGTTGACCTCCAATGAAGCTACAAGTGAGACTGCAAATAAGACAGCGAGTCTTCACTCCTAAGGGATACTGCAACAAAACCTAGACCTAACACTTTGGATACTGAAAAATAAAATAAAAGCAGTAAAAAGCAAATAGAGCAACAGTGACAAAGTTGCAGCCACCACAGAGGCTATGCCACGAGCACAAAT